TTATCCATGTATGTCTCTATCTACCTGTCTGTTTATGTATGTATCTGTCTATCTATGTATCTTTCTATGTAAGTATGTATGTATGTATGTATGTATGTATGTATCACCTATCACAGCAACTACAATAATGGGCTTGCTCAGAATGATGATCATGAGGATGGCACAGGAAAGGGCACACTTCAGATCTGTTCTTCACTAGGTTGCCACAAATCATGGTGGGCTCAACTGCACCCAACAACAACATCTATCTAAGTAGGATGTAGGCGAAATGTTTCACAAGCACTCTCCAACTAGTCATTCTTCCAAAACATAGTTATTTTCACTTTGGCGCAGGAAGGGAAGGCCCTCTATGAGGTGGATTGATTCAGTGACTGGGGTAATCGGGATGCATGTATTGGAGACAGTGCGAGTGACACATGACAGAGCAGAGTTTAGGGCTGTTGTACATAGGATCACCATGAGTCACAAGTGAATTGACGGCACATAACAACAACAATAAGAACAACAACAGTACACAGATGTAGAAACTGAGTTTTGCACACATCTATGATTTTTCTATTGTGCCAAAAGCTGAAAGGAAAAACTTAGTTATTATTTTATTTGCTGCTTTTTAACTTATTTCTAAGCATTCCTAAGCTTTCAAAGTAGTGCTGTAAGAATGTTTGGGACCGCAACCAGGAAAATGCAGAAGTAGGGGTATTAATCTCTGATAAAATAAATGTAAATGCAAAAACCATAACAAAGGACAAGGAAAGTCACTACATAATGTTTAAAGGGTCAATAGAACAAGAGGACATAACAATAATAAATATCTATGCACCAAATGAAAGACCTGCAAAATATTTAAAACGTACATTAACAAAACTGAAAAAGGAAACAGACAACACTACTATAGTAGTTGGAGACTTCAATACACCACTTTCATGAAAAGACAGAACTACCAGAAAGAAATTCAAAGGGATGCTAAAGAATTAAACGACACAATAAACCAACTCGATCTCATAGATTTTTATTGGCAAATTTACCCCCCTCCCCCCAGAAAAGCACTGTATACCTTTTTCTCCAATGTGCGTGGAACGTTCTCTGGAAAAGATCACATTTTAGGTGACAAGGGAAGCATCAATAAATTAAAAAACATAGACATAACACAAAGCGTCTTCTCAGACCACAATGCTACAAAATTAGAAATTAACAACAAGAGAATAAAGGAGAAAAACCATACATTTGGAAGCTGAACAACACCTTACTTGAACATGAGTGAGTACAAGTAGAAATAAAAAATGAAATAAAAGAAGTTTCTTAAAACAAATGATCATGAAAACAAAACTAAAACCTCTGGGGAAAAAGCCAAAGCCGTAATCAGAGGTCAGTTTATAGCAGTAAGAAAACATATCAAAAGGCAGGGAAAAAATGACCCTTGACTCTCTAACTCAACATCTCCAACAAATTGAAAAAGAACAGTAAGAAAACCTGATACTTTCTAAAAAACCTGAAATTATAAAAATTAAAGCATAAATAAATGAAATTGAAAACAGAAAAACAATTGAAACTATCAACAAAACTAGGAGTTGATTCTTTGAAAAGGTCAATAAAATTGACAAACCACTAGCAAAACTAATGAAGGAAAAGACACAAATAATACGAATAAAAAATGTAATCGGCAACATCACAAAAGAACCAACTAGAATAAAAAGGCTAACAATGGAATATTATGGAAAAACTATACTCAAACAAATATGAAAACCTAGAGGAAATGGACAAATAATTAGAAATAACCTACCTAACCTGACACAAACCAAAATGGAACACTTGAACAGATCCATTACAAAAGAAGAAATTAAAAAGGTAATAAAACAATTTCCAGCCAAAAAAAAGTCCTGGATCAGATAGTTTTGCAAGTGAATTTTATCAAACATTTAGAGAAAAACTGTCATCAATTCTACATAAACTATTTCAGAAAATTAAAAAAGATGGAATTCTCCCAGACTCATTCTATGAAGCAAACATACCTTTGATAACAAAGCCAGGTAAAGACCCCACCAAAATAGAAAACTATAGGCCAATGTCTCTCATGAACGTAGATGCAAAAATCCTGAATAAAATCCTGGCCAATAGAATCCAACGATGTCATTGTTGTTGTCGTTGTTGTTGTTATGTGCTGTCAAGTCATTTGTGACTCATAGTGACCCTATGTAAAACAGCCCTAAACTCTGCTCTGTCCTGTGCCA